CTCCTCCCAGTTTGGTATCATCAGCAAACTTGCTGAGGGAGCACTCTGTGCCTCCATCCAGGTCATTGATGAATAAATTGAACAGGACTGGACCAAGGTCTGACCCCTGGGGGACACCGCTAGCTACAGGCCTCCAACTAGACTCTGCAATGTTCTGCAGGAACCTCCTAGACTGCTTGTTCCTAGCTGTGTGATTATTCCAGCAGACATCAGAGTGGTTGAAGTCCCCCATAAGGACCAGGGCCTGGGATCATGAGGATTCTTGGAGCTGCCTGTAGAGGCCTCATCCACTTCCTCTCCCTGGTCAGGAGGCCTGTAGTAAACTCCCACGACCATGTTGCCCCTGTTGGTCTGCTTTTTAATCCTCACCCCCAGGCTCTTGACTCGCACTTTGTTCTCCCCTATGCTGAGCTCCATACACTCCAGTTGCTCTCTCACATAAAGAGCATTTAATTCTAATGGCATACTGAAAACCATTATACAAAACTGTATTTTGTTTTTCCCTGTTCAACTGCAGTCCTTCTTTTGTTAGAGACAGGAGTTAATCCCCAAAACCTGCTTTTTCCTTTTTAATTTCAAAAGGAAATTAATTAAATTTTAAACGGGAATGACCTGTACCTGTTTCTCAGAGATACTCATTCACTTTCTACAGAGAGAAGCATTACATTCCTCCCTTATTGAGGTTGGAGAGCTAAAGGTGCTTTTTTCTTTCCTAAATTACATATCACACACACACTGCCTCACCTTGAAATAGTTTTTTTCCTTCAGGCTGCTGAGGAATCTCTCCCACAAGGGACCGCTTAAGACGCTTGTCTTGGAAGCAGGAGAAACTTTACATTTAGAGCACAAAATCTCAAAGCCATGAGCCTGTAAGAGAGGGCAACAAAGGCAGATTCTCAGGATGTGACAGATTTAAGTTCACTATTAACAACTGCATAAAGAACACACTACTACTGAGCTCCTGAAGCTGCCATTTATGAAACAGACACCAAAGCTGACTGCCCACTCAGTATGATCCACAATTGCTGTAGAAAGATTCCCACTTCCAGACAAGCAAGATACGGCTGACTTCCAAGGTTGGTCTACCACTCCTACAACTCCTCTGGGAGTTGGTATACTCCCAGAATACATTTCTAGAGAAATGGTAATTGCCAATTTGCTCATATTTTCTTGTAGAAGCAGACAACCTGAAAACAGAGTCATTTCTTTGACCCCTCTAAACAAACTAAACAGACTAAGTACATGATGCATAAAAATAATTACCAGTTTCATGCCCAGTTCATGCGCTTTGTATCGAGGGTCAGATGGCAGGGGCAGCGTATATCCACTGCGTCTGTCTGGAACAAACTTCTGCTGCACTAACTGTGCATACAAACACTTTGTGAAAGTAACCTGAAAACACAGAGTAAAAGAAAAAAACCCTGACTCCAGTGGGACTACATTCTACACTGGCATAAACTTTCTAACCATCTCATCCGGGTTTTAATTTAAAGCACCCATTTTACAGACAATCCTTAAGATGGTATGTAAAAGTTGACATATGTTTGACAAAGATGTGTCACAAGCCCAGCCATGTCAGTCTGAAGGCAGCAGAGATATGAATAAAATCAATCGGAAACTCACAGCTAGTGTCAAGAGGAAATCAGAGGGAATCATTTCTCTAACTTGACTACTGAACTTCCAGCAGCATCAGAACTTAACTAAGTGATAACAAGTTGAATTAGAAGCATTGCTTACAACAGTCATCACACGCTTGGCCGGAGGGAAAGTTTTAAAAGTACGACACGCTCGCAAATCCACGGGATCTCGCAGGTAAAAGGCCTGGACTGCTGCAGCCACCAGCGAAGGGCGCTGCTTCAGCACTGCCACAATACCTGCCGGCAGGTAGCAATGGGCTCGGTGAAATAAGGTCTGAATTTTCTCAGGATAACTGTAACACAGAACAGCAACATAGGGTATTAAGTATACTGAAAGACCACTTGTTTTTAATTACTGTCTCTATTTTCACTTTAATATTAGTCAGTACAATGGGCCAAGTGCCAAAAGGTTATCCTGAAATAAGGTAAAAACCCAACTAATTTGCCACTTGGAATGTCAAAACAAGACTTTTAAAAAATACAGCGAGGAAAACTATATTCCACAATAAAAAAAAAAAACACTGTGAATTGCACTAATAGGTCCAGCTACAAAGCTTCTTTCACTGTGCTGACTGTGGAAGTCACTGCTAGTACACTGTTAGCCAGTGACTTCAGGAAAGGAAGCAACGTTAAATCACAGTTAATAGGAAAAAACGAGCACCAGCAAGAAAGTACCCCCAAAAGTGAAGAACCAACAGTTACCAGCAGAACACTGTAAACATCCACGTACCCACTGATACGTTTATACACCGCTGTTCTAATGGGTACTGCAGCCAGACTCTCCTCTGAGCGGGTGGATAAAAACGCTAATGCCTGTGAGATGGTTGGGCTGGAAACAGGTGGCTCCCACTCCTTCCCCTCAGTCTCTGGTAGAGGAATGATGTGTAGTTCTCCTTTGTAAAAGAATACCTGGCAGACAGTAACACTTTCATCAGAAGGGAAAAACAACAGAAATTCAGAGGCGGGTCTGGGGGCTCTGCATGAACGTTATTAGTACACAATAAAATAAAACCCTCTTTCTGCCTCACCCTGTTGTCGCTGTTATCGGGGTTCAGCCACTTGGGCAGGAAATCGGCCGCCTCTATGAGCAGGAACTCGCCGTCGTTGTCCTGAACGCTGCACGAGGGGCGAGGAGGAGTGGCCGTTACCTCACGCGGCCGTTACCTCACGCGGCGCGGCGCGC